AGGAATACCTGTATAATTCTAAAGAATAATAATAATTATAAATACAGTAGGCCCTTATATTACACTAGGCACATTCCTGATAATGCTGTGTTAGATAAATCCATGTTAGATAAACTGAAGAACTTATGGGAAAAATAAGATTACATTCCTAGGCGCCCCAAAAAAAACCAAACAACTTTCGTTTAGACTTCCAGTTCTTACAAAAATAAAAGTGAATATGTAATTGTTGTTCATTGCCGTGATGTTTTATGTTGTTTTTACTGCTTAGGACTACAAATGCAACAGAAATAATAGTATTTCTTACCTTAAATTGTGGGTGCTGGTGTCGATGATTGTGAAGAGAGTGGAGAGTTATACTGTGGCCCTACTGGGCTAAGGTGGATGGTAGAGGTTCTGGTACTTCAGTTGATGGTTGTACTGGAGTGTGCATAAATTCTGTAATGGATTTCTGGCCTATTTTACCCTGCAGTACATTATACAGCTGACAGTAAAGCATCAGCTGCTCTAGACACCATTTCAGACCACTGCTTCTAGATTTGTCATGTTTCCCTTCAGTGAAAAAGTCTAAGTCAGTAAAGTCAATAAGTCAAGTCAGTCAGTCAGTAAGTCAAGTCAGTCAGTCAGTAAATCAGTCAATAAATGCCAGGTCAGTCAGTAAATCACTCAATCAAGTCAGTAAGTCAATCAGTAACTCCAAGTTTTAAATGCTTAACCCTTTTCTTGCCACTTTCAGCAACACTTGTGTGCCTACTGGGTGCCATGATTGCTTGGCAGATACAAGATATAGCAATTAAAATATCAATACACAATCCATAAACACAGCTAGCTCCTAGATGCATATGAATGGAAGGCAGGGACAGGAGTGGTAGGGGATGGCAGTATGTTTCCCCCACAGAGACAGTGGTCTCACCCACAGCAAGGCAGTGGCCTGAGCTAGGAAAATATCCTGCAGGTGATGCTCTAGATTTTTTCCCCTACCACAAACTGAACCATGTTAAGTTAATTTTACAGTGTTGCATAAAATTATGCCACAATTTTTCAATAGTGTAATAACCAAAATGTGCCAAATAAATCAATGTAATATAAGAGTCTACTGCAAATTTTTTTTTTTTAATAAGTCAGCCATCTCCCACCAAGGCAGGGTGACCCAAAAAGAAAGAAAATCCCCAAAAAGAAAATACTTTCATCATCATTCAACACTTTCACCTCACTCACACATAATCACTGTTTTTGCAGAGGTGCTCAGAATACAACAGTTTAGAAGCATATACATATAAAGATACACAACATATCCCTCCAAACTTCCAATATCCCATTGTACTTCCCATTTCCAGGACTCAAGACTGGCTATATAAAAATAACTGGTTTCCCTGAATCCCTTCACTAAATATCATCCTGCTCACACTCCAACAGCTCATCAGGTCCCAAATACCATTCGTCTCCATTCACTCCTATCTAACACGCTCACGCATGCTTGCTGGAAGTCCAAGCCCCTCGCCCACAAAACCTCCTTTACCCCCTCCCTCCAACCTTTTCAAGGACAACCCCTACCCCGCCTTCCGTCCCCTACAGATTTATACGCTCTCCATGTCATTCTACTTTGATCCATTCTCTCTAAATGACCAAACCACCTCAACAACCCCTCTTCAGCCCTCTGAAAAATACTTTTATTAACTCCACACCTTCTCCTAATTTCCACACTCCGAATTCTCTGCATAATATTTACACCACACATTGCCCTTAGACAGGACATCTCCACTGCCTCCAACCACCTCCTCGCTGCAGCATTTACAACTCATGCTTCACACCCATATAAGAGTGTTGGTACTACTATACTTTCACACATTCCCTTCTTTGCCTCCATAGATAATGTTTTTTTGTCTCCACATATACCTCAATGCACCACTTGCCTTTTTCCTTCATTAATTCTATGATTAACCTCATCCTTCGTAAATCCATCCACTGACATGTCAACTTCCAAATATCTGAAAACATTCACTTCTTCCATAATCCTCCTTCCCAATTTGTTATCCAATTTTTTTTTTATCTAAATAATTTGATACCCTCATCACCTTATTCTTTTATATGTTCACTTTCAACTTTCTACCTTTATACACACTCCCAAACTCGTCCACTAATATTTGCAATTTTTCTTTAGAATTATTAATAATTCTAATAATAAATAATAATAAAACTGTCCTAGATTGGCCCTAAAAGTTTAGCACTTTTTGTCAATACAAAATAAAAGTTATAATACCTGTCCTGGAGGTTGGTGATTCTATTGTAGGGTGCGTGTAGGATACGAAGTGCTCGACACTGCTGAAGTGGAGTGAGGTCCCTGAGTCTGTTAGCTGCAGCATACACCTCTTGCAAAGACAGTGTCTCTTTTGGGCTGGCAGCATCTTCTACACATGCTTGTGACTTTCCTCGGCTCCCACGACATTCCATGGCACCAGGCAATGCACTCAGATGATTGGCACTTACATTCAGCACTCTTAACCTAAGGACACAAAATAAGAGAATTATCTTCATAATACAGTGTATAAAATCTTTTATACAGTGTTAAAAATTTAGCTCGTAACAGAAAGGAGCCTGGTTAGACTGCTAGGCTGAGCTAGTCTCCACGCACCTGGGTGTTTGTCATTTAAGATAACCTAGTTACCTCAGCCTAAAAACCGTAAATATACATTTGTTACTTGATGCCGGCAAAGGACTCTTGACTGGAGGGATTGGAGTTATCCTACTCATCCATAGATCAAAACAGATTACTTCCCATTCAACAATTAATTATTCTTTATTCGATAAGAATAGAAATAAAAAAAACAGAAAAAGAATATTCTTATCCTTATTCTTTATTCTTACATTCATGTGTTAGTTTAATATCTTTATTATGCACCTCAAATCCATCCTGTGGGTGGTAGTCAAACGATTACAGAGGTACATAATGGGTCCAAAAGTTATGATAGCTGAACTAGTTACAAAGGTAATGAACTCCAGGTAGATCTGGTCACAATCATGGCAAGTTACAAAGGTAATGAACCCTCTACACTCCTATAATGGTTACAATCATGAACAAATTACAAAGTAATGAGCCACTGACACGTCCACAAACAGTCACAATTGTAAAGAGTTATAAAACAAAATTTTTTAAATGGGTCTACACCCACACGAGCATGCACACACACAAAAAACGAGCGGGGACACACCGAGTGCGCACACAAGAGCACGCGGCCCCACGGCACAACACACACACACACACACACCCCACACACACACACACACCCCACACACACACACAAAACACACACACCCCCACACAAACACACACACACAAAACACCCAACAATCAGATGAGAATGGGTTTTGATAGGGGAGTGGGTGGAAAGGGGCAGTGGAAAAGGATGGAACAAAAGTGGGGGGAAATTAACAGAGCTTTCTGAAAAAATTGGGGAGAAACGCTCTCTGTTGGGAAATTTTGGAAAAGGGTTGGAGAAGGAGACAAAAAAATTGGGGAAAGGGACAAGCAGGGGGGAATTTTCCCCATAGGGGAAACTAGGTATTTGCCCCGGGCCCCCCGCACATTTGGGGGGCCCCCCCCTGGTTCCCCGGGGTTAAGGGGGTCATCCAAGACTGGGGACTTGGGGCAAGTGCAAAGGGGTCCCCACCTAAAAAATTAAAGTGTTTTTGGGGAGTAAAACTGTTTTTAAAAAAAATTAAATCAAAAACAAAAAAAAATAATGAAAAAAAAACAAAATAAAAAAAAATAAAACCCAACCATAGATGGCAAAACTCAACCGGGCCCTTTTTTTACCCTCAGAACAACCCGTGGTTTTTTCCCCCTAATGGGTGAGTTTTGGGGGGAAATTTCCCCAATTTTCTGTAGTAATTACCCCGTTATCTGGGCTTTTACTTGACAAATTAAAATGAATGTTGTTGATAGACATTGATGTGTAGGGGGTAAATGTTTTTTTCGCCTCTAAATGTTAAGGGGGGACCCGATAGGGTTTTTCTTGACCAGTAAAGACGCAAAGGAGCAGTAAAGACGCATTTTTGGACCGGTGTTTACGGAAACATATAAGTGAACAGTATTTTGGGGTAAATAAAGAGGTTTTTTGTGGCATTTTTTGGGTTTGGAAAAGGCGTTTTTGACAGGGTGGATAGGGGGGGGGGAAAATGGCAGAAAGTTGCAAAATGGGATGGTGTAGGAGGTAGGTTACTGAAAACAGTGAAGAGTTTTTACGAGGATAGTGAGGCTCAAGTTAGAGTATGTAGGAAAGAGGGAAATTTTTTCCCAGTAAAAGTAGGCCTTAGACAAGGATGTGTGATGTCACCGTGGTTGTTTAATATTTTATAGATGGGGTTGTAAGAGAAGTAAATGCGAGGGTCTTGGCAAGAGGCGTGGAGTTAAAAGATAAAGAATCACACACAAAGTGGGAGTTGTCACAAGCTGCTCTTTGCTGATGACACTGTGCTCTTGGGAGATTCTGAAGAGAAGTTGCAGAGATTGGTGGATGAATTTGGTAGGGTGTGCAAAAGAAGAAAATTAAAGGTGAATACAGGAAAGAGTAAGGTTATGAGGATAACAAAAAGATTAGGTGATGAAAGATTGAATATCAGATTGGAGGGAGAGAGTAATGGAGGAGGTGAACGTATTCAGATATTTGGGAGTGGACGTGTCAGCGGATGGGTCTATGAAAGATGAGGTGAATCATAGAATTGATGAGGGAAAAAGAGTGAGTGGTGCACTTAGGAGTCTGTGGAGACAAAGAACTTTGTCCTTGGAGGCAAAGAGGGGAATGTATGAGAGTATAGTTTTACCAACGCTCTTATATGGGTGTGAAGCGTGGTGTGAATGTTGCAGCGAGGAGAAGGCTGGAGGCAGTGGAGATGTCATGTCCTGAGGGCAATGTGTGGTGTGAATATAATGCAGAGAATTCGTAGTTTGGAAGTTAGGAGGAGGTGCGGGATTACCAAAACTGTTGTCCAGAGGGCTGAGGAAGGGTTGTTGAGGTGGTTCGGACATGTAGAGAGAATGGAGCGAAACAGAATGACTTCAAGAGTGATCAGTCTGTAGTGGAAGGAAGGCGGGGTAGGGGTCGGCCTAGGAAGGGTGGAGGGAGGGGTAAAGGAGGTTTTGTGTGCGAGGGGCTTGGACTTCCAGCAGGCATGCGTGAGCGTGTTTGATAGGAGTGAATGGAGACAAATGGTTTTTAATACTTGACGTGCTGTTAGAGTGTGAGCAAAGTAACATTTATGAAGGGATTCAGGGAAACCGGCAGGCCGGACTTGAGTCCTGGAGATGGAAGTACAGTGCCTGCACTCTGAAGGAGGGGTGTTAATGTTGCAGTTTAAAAACTGTAGTGTAAAGCACCCTTCTGGCAAGACAGTGATGGAGTGAATGATGGTGAAAGTTTTTCTTTTTCGGGCCACCCTGCCTTGGTGGGAATCGGCCGGTGTGATAATAAAAAAAAAAAAAAAGAAAAACCTAAAAACGCAAAATGATTTCCCCCCTTTTGTGGGTTTTTAAAAAAGCACTTTGTCCCCCTTTAAGTTTTTTATCTTTTCCAAAAAAACCAGATCTCAATTGATTGATGTTCTACATCCCCTTTAAATCAAAATACTTAGTTTTAAAGGGTTGCGAGGGAAGTGATGTAAAACATCAATTAATTTACTCCCATATTTCCCCAAAAACACAAACCCCATCAAAAAAATTGTTGGTTGGGGTGAAACTGAAAATTTCCCGGGCATTTTTTAAATTTCCTTTTCCCTTTAAATTTTATGTGGTGGGACCATATATCATGCAAAACAAAATGTTTGGGTTTATTATGAAAATTTAATATAACCCAAAAACAACATTTAACCCAAAAATAAGGGCCCTTGAGGTTGAAAATAAATAGGTTTAAAGCGAGTAAAACAGGGGCAGTAAACCAAGAAGACTAAAGCATATGAAGCTAAAGGGGGGAACAGGAAGGAAAAAGGAGATACGAATTATGCTAAGGTCATATCAGCCTCCAAAAAGGGCTGGGAGTAAATGGAAAAACAGGGGGTGCAGATGGAGAGGGTGTTTAGGTCAATTTGCGAGGCAAAACCCCATGCTATCAAGAGCCACAAAAAAATTTCAAGGGGAAAAATGACCACATACAGGCAGGACCCCAAAAAAGCACAGGGGGTGGGGCCCAAATGGGAGGGGGGAAAAGGGAAAAAATCAGTTTTATCCATGGGCTTCAGGGGGAAGAGGAAAGGCCCCACCCTAAAAGGGCACAGGAAGAAAGAAAGGAGTTGAAAAAAATCATCAGGGAAAAATAGGTGAAGAACAGAAGGGACGAGATTGTAAATTTTCAGAGAATGGGGGGATCCTCGAAGGGAAAAGAAAACCAAACCCGTCAAGCGGATTTCCAGGAGGGAAAACAGTGCAAAAACGGATCCTCCAAAAAAAACCACTTTTGAAAAACTCGGAAGATTTACAAGGGGGTGTTCCTAGACAGGAAAGAAACAAACAGAAAGAAAGCAGTGGGGGACAGGAAAAAAAAAAAGCAAAAGAAGCTGGGAAAGAAGAAAAGGGAAAGGGAACCCAAACAGGGGTTTCCGGGTCAGAGAAAAAGGGAGCAGAAAGGGGCAAGCACCCACACAACACCTCGGGAAACCCCAAAACCTTAAACACCACCCCAAACACACTACAATCCTTCCCCACACTTCCCCCAAAACACCGAGCTATAGAACCCCAAACCAGTATGCTCCCAGGTCCCCCCCCCTTACGGGCCCCCCCCAAACCACAGTTTTGGGAAAAGGGAAATTTAAAAGGGTTTAATGGTACAAAAACGTGTGGAAAAACCCAAATAAGTGGGGGGAAATGGCACAAAAAGATTCAAAGGGCATCACGGGGACATAAATAGCTCTCACAAAAACCCAATTTTTACAGGTATGATAACAATGCCATTTTTCCCAGGGGATACCAATCCTGAGAAAAGACAGGGGGGAAACGGGGGTGGGTGGGGGGATGGCATTGTGATAAAAAACCCAATGGAATTTGATACTGGGAGAGGAAAAGCGGAGAAAAAAGTGTTTACATAGGGGGGAAAGCTTCACTCTGGGGTCCCAAGGGGGTTTTAAGTAGCAGTGATGCAAAACCCCACCACAGAACGCAGGGGGCCCAAGGCAAGAGTACGACGAGAGAAATAGAGTGATGATTGCCAAAACTGGCGGCAGGGGCCAGAAGAGCTCATGCATGCAGGGCAAAAGTTTCTTGATCAGGGGTGATTTTAAACCCAAAAGGGATATCGTTTAAAAATTTTTTCCTCTATAAAAAATAAAAGGTTGAATTTACGGGAATTTGGTTGTTGTGTGGTTTAAAATGTAGTTAAATAATGATTACGAGGTCCACTAGAACGCCTACATGCTGGGTATTTCGGGCGACTTAGTTTAATTCTTTATTTTAAAAAAATTACAAATTAGGGGAGGTAATTGGATTATGGCAAAGGGTGACTAAAAAACTAGTTTTGA